AAACGTAAACCAGTCCGATGTAGCCGAACGCAACGCAATTTCAGATGACTGGTTGTTGAGCCGGTTTGACACGGTCAGACGGTCCATGCCGTCTCGCGTGCCATTTTTCCGGTAACTAAAGGTCTCCGGAAATGCACGCACGATCTTTGCATTAGCCACGGAGAGGAGAAAACCGTTCACCAATTGAGCCAATTTTCGTTTTGTCGGTATCCAGTTCGTCATTTTGTTTTTCCGCCACGCCGCCGGGCCTACCCTTTTTGCTCAGGCGTAGCGTGATAGGTGATCCAGTCCGAAAACTGGGCAATATTGACGACGCCAGGCAAGGGCTGAAGACTGTTCCACTGGAGCTCCGCCGTACTTTTCCTGGAGGACTTGATGATCTGAACCAGGCGATTCCAGCTCGCCCTGTCGAAGAAGGACAACAGCAGTCCACCCCAGTCACGCAGGGATAGAAGCCTCATATTGGCAAGAAAGTCCGCGACACTCAGGACGCCCAGCTTCTTCTGCATGTACCAGGCAAAAACCTGGCGGCGCACGTAGCCGCCCCTGTCAATCTCTGTCCCGCGCAGCTTGTCACCCAGGTTTTTCTTCAACAGATTGAGCCACATGTGCATGCCGTTGGTCAGGTCGCTCCCCGGCAACATCCCCGGAAACTCCGGATCAATGCCGAGATACGCAAGTCCGCTTTTATGTTTGCTGCTGTAAAAATAGTGCCCAAACGACTTGGGCGACACGCCCACCACCAGCAATTTTTCAGGACTGAATACCCACTTGTCTGCCGTTAAAAGCAGGGAGTTGAGTGCGTAGTGGTCAGGAAAGGGAGGGTGAAACTTTGGAAGCTTGTCGCGGCGCACCAGCGTGGTTTGCATGTTCAGGGGAATACGCACCTTGAACCGGAACATGTCGTGCACGATAGAGAACCGTTGATCCATGGACATGACGCCTTCTTTCGTCAAATCCTCGCCGAAATTGAAATGGGCACGGCTGTAAAACCCATGTTCGTTCTGGCCAATGGAGTTCGGCGCTACGTATGAATAGCCGTTGTGCAGGATGCAGTCAGGCTGCCCGTACTGATCGATGATTTGCGCCATCCTGACAAAATATCCGGGCAACAGGAGATCGTCGTCGCCCATCATCATCATGTAGTCGCCTGATGCCGCGAACAGGGCGTTGTTCCAGTTATCGGTGACCGAGATCATCTCCTCCAGACGCAGTATCTTTACCCGGGGATCGGTTGCGTATTGGGCAATGATTTCTGGCGTCTTGTCAGTGTTGGCATTGTCTGAAATGATCAATTCCAGGTCGTCATACCCCTGTCCAAGAATGGAGTTGATGCAATTTTCAAGATAAGGGCCGCCATTGCGGGTAGGAAGCAATACCGAGAATTTCATTTTTTAATTCAGCTTCTAAACTTGTTTATTGACATCAGCGCCCACCTTGACCCAGCACTGGGTGCCGTGATCAAACCGCTTTACCGGTCTTGCAGGAACTCCGGCGACGACCGTGAAAGCAGGTACCGACCGCGTTACGACGCTGTTGGCACCCACCACCGCATGCTCACCTATCGAAACATTCCCCGCAACAAAGGCGCCGTAGCCAATCCAGGCACCTTGACCTATGGTAATTTCTCCGGGCAACAGGGGTTGACTCAGCACCCCCAGTGACGGGTTGCCGTAGTCATGATGGGAATCGGCCAGATAGACATTGTCTCCGATTGTTACCTCATGCCCAATCACCAGCCGGTTAACGCATGACAAGGTGCAGCCAAACCCGATGCTGACGTTATCGCCAATCACCATCTCCGGAACGAAAGCCTGGCTTCCATAACTTTTTAGTGCCAGCAACCGGGTGTTCCGGCTGATTCGGGAACCACTGCCCAGGGTGATGCAGTCAAGGCCGACAGCCTGGATAAACGGGCTGACAAAGGAGCCTGCGCCAATACGCCTGAACGCGGACCTGTACACCCAGCCATATGGGATGGCAAGCAGGGACTCCAGGCGAAGCCGCTGGAACAGCATGCGAATTAAGGACGTCATGTTGAAAAAACCCGCTTGAATGCGCCAATAAGATCAGACTGAAGAGGCCGGGATAGCAGCAGCCACGCGGCTGCGGCATAAGCCAGCACGCCGCCGCCCAGCGCGACCAAAGACAGCCACCCCGGCGCAAACGCCATGGAAAGGATTTTCGCACCGCCAAACGCGCCTATCCCGGCCAACAGAAAAGGAAACAGGTTGGCGCGCAGCCACCAGCCAAACCCTTGCTTGAGAACGCGTGCCTGGACCAGCGGTACAAGCGTGAAGACATAGTAGGCATTCAACCCCGCATAAGCTGCCGCAGCACCGCTGATTCCAAAAAGATGAACCAGCCAGTAAAGAGCGGGAAGATAGGCCACCAGCGCCACCAGGTTGACCTTCAGGGGCAGGCCCGGCTGTCCGCAGGCAACAGCCGCCATGTAGGCATTTGAAACGATGGCATTGAAAAAGAAACCGAGCGCCAGCCATGCCATGGTGAGAGCCGCCGCGTCGGCGACTTTCGCATTGATCCAGACGGCAAGCACCTCGTGCCCGAAAAAAACCAGCGCAAAACAGGGCAAAGCCACCACAAGCCCCATTAACTGGCTTGCCTTGTTATAGCGCGACAAAAGATCAGCATGTTCGCCACTGCTGAATGAGTGCGAAAACGCGGGAAAAGAAGCATTGTTGATGGCGCTTTGTACCAGCGAAATTGCGATGGAAGCGTTGTACGCGATGGAGTAGTAACCCAGATATTCAAGGCTGAGAAATTTGGTCACGGCCAGCCGGTCTGCCTGGCTCAACACCAGTGCAGTCAGGGCAATGAGATTCATCGCGACCGAGTACTTCCAGATGTCCCTGAATGAAGCCAGCGAGAAATATGGCCAAAGCCGTAACGCGGGAAGCAGCCGGTAAGTCACCACTGCGTAGACGAGAATTTCAACCGCAGAACTGATGGCAAACCATACAAGGAATGCCAGCAGATTGGGAAGGGAAAACAGGACGACAACACCACCGGCCAAACGCAAGGTGTTCACCGATGCCTTGATGATGTTCAACGCATCCATGCGCTGCAAACCACTGATGACACCCGAATAAAACGCAACCGGCCATCGCAGGCCCAGGTAAATGGCGATGATTTGTATGCCTACGGTCACCGTGCCGGCATCGAGACGGGTGTTGTGCAGCCAGAAGGTCGCGACGCGGCCTGAATTGGCCCAGAGAAGCACGGCTATAAACGCAGCAATAAGCCAGTAAACCGTCGAAGCCGTGTTGAGTGCACCTGCACTCTGGCGTCGGCCATCACTGTGGTCAGACGACACGACCTTTGTAACTGTAGCGGCAATCCCGAGGTCAAGCGATCCCAGCAGCACCTGGAGAATGGTGATCAGCCCGACAAAGCCAAAGGCCTCAACACCCAAAAAATGTACCTGAACAGGGGTGACGGCAAGCGTAAGTATTCCCAGCCATGCACTGCCGAGAAAATTGAAAATGATATTGGACTTGAGCCGGGCCACGGTGTGTGTTGCCCGGTCAGGCTCCGGGCATCCCGGGTTGCCGGCGCCACCAGGCTATCGTGTCATCCAGCCCGGAGTCCAGATCGAATTTCTTTTGCCATCCTGTAGACAAAAGCCGGCTGATATCCGGCAGCAGGAGTGGCGGCTCGCCACTCGAAGCAAGGGAGGGGTCACGGAACCGGGTCAGGTCACGCCCCTCCAGCTTGATGGCTATTTTTTCAACAAGATCATGCAGGCTGACCGCATCTCCAGACCCAATATTGACCGGGCCACTCAGGTCACTTTCGAGAATGGATACAAATGCGGACGCGACATCCTCTGCATGCGCGTAGTCACGCACAAGGCCTCCATTGCCGCAGGTGGCAACCTCGCTCTTGAGCAGGGCACGTATGACAGACGCCACCAGGCGGGCCGGGTTTTCTTCAGGCCCATAGAGGGAGAACACACGTCCCCAGGCTCCCGGAAGATTCCTTTGGCTGCACCAGGCTTGCTGCATCTGCTGAAGTGCATGTTTGTAACTACCATAAAGAGTGGCCGGTACCAAAGGCGTCTGCCCCTCAATGCACACGCCATGACTCCATTCATACTCGGCACAGGTGCCCGCGGTCACAAGGCGCTGGCCACCCGAGTCAAAAAATTCCTGCATCAAAGCCAGGCTTCCCTGAACCCAGTTCAGGT